CAATATATAAATTTGATTTATATTAAAAAAAATACATATGTGAACTTTTGAAGAGTGGAGTGTAATGGTGCCCTTTAAACATTGATATTACATTGAAGCTTATATTAAATAATGAAGAACTTCTGAAGAGGTGTTTAGGTGATATTATTCATTATTAAAAATATTTAAGAAAATGGTTTTTATATAAAGTGTCTAATATATAGAAATATTTTTTAATGGAGGTTTTAAAACACCTTAAGTTTTCAATATTAAAGTATGGCTGTTTAACTGATTAATAAATTGCAATGCTTCTCTTATGGTTTCCTTTATTTGTTTAAATTCCTTAATTTTTTGTATAGATTTCTGAGAAAATTTTAAAGTTCAAATTGAGTTTACGATATACAAATTTCTTAATTGTTAACTAGTACTAACGAATACCCTTCTTTTGTCATATTTGTATCTATAAACCTTGACTTTAGTGACATCTCTAGCAAATCGCTTTTCTGCACCTGCATGTGGCTTGTTGTTGTGGCCATTTTCGTGGGACTTACGTAAGCTCGCTAAGGCGGCAAAATGAAATGAAATGAAATGAAATTGTTGTAATGGGCGATTCTCATTGCGGCACGCTACCCAGCAATTTCCAAGTAAAAAGCCCGCTCCTATGTACTACGAACAATAAATAACCAATTCCGCATTCAGTGAGATGTGAAAATTAACATTATAACAAGCCACGTATCCCATTTTTGATCTTTACTGGTTTTCATTGGATATGTTTTGTAGTTCAACTTTATAGAAAGCATATTTAATATGTTTAGTTTTGTGATTAAATTATTAGGAAACAGAAAAGGAAATTTACTTGAGTAGTCCAAAGATTGTATCTCATGTTAATGCTGACCAAGAATATATATGATTTATAGGGTCGGAAATGACTCATTGACTGATTAAAATGGTTTCAACAGCTTAAATATAAAGGTTTTTAGAAGAAAAGGATTATTATATTAAATTTAATAAAGCTTATATTATGACAGGATATATATAAATTCTTGTAGCATTATTATATTTGTTTTATTAATTTAATATCACTATAATTACAATCAAAACAATCTAGAGAGTAATTGTTTAGCTTCAGGCTGTCAAAAAATCCCACCAAAGGCATTCAACATTTCAGCATTCAGTTATTTCAAGCCAAATAAATTCTGCCTCTCAAATCTGTACATATTTAACCACAAAAACAAATAAATATATATATTTATAATATATATATATAATATATAGCTTTGGTAAAACAGCTGTTGCCACTGCAGAAGCACCCCAAGTTTTGAACTCAAAGCGAAAGCTAAATGGCAGTCCGGGTGCGAATTGCGTCAGAGATCGTGTGAAAAGCTAATGGACGCTCCGAATGCCAAATTCAATTTACAAATTCCTCCATTTCCCCCTTGAGATTTCCTCCTCTTTCATTTCGATTTCAGTGCAGCTTCCGATTTGGCCTGCCGCCTGCCTTTGCCAATTCCGCGGCCATCTTTCACTTGGCCATTTGTCAGCTGCAAAAGCTGACGGGCCACACACATTTGTCCCCTGCACCTGTGTGTGTGTGTGCCTCGTGGGTGTGCCACTGTGTGTGTGTGTGCAAGTATCTGAGAGATGCAACAGAACCGAAAGATGCAACAGAAAAAAAAGATCAAAAGGCCTTGCTGCAATCAGGCCCTGGGTCCCTCAATGTAAAAGGGAAACCCAATGGGTATATTGGGCAGACAAAAAATATATATATACAGATATATATTTTTAGTTAACAAATTAAATTACAAAAATATAAATTAATTAAACAATAAATTTGAACTAGGTACGTATTTTATTTACTGTTTTATTTTACTCTTGCAATTCAGCTCTTTACTAATCAATTGTAATTACCTCTAAGATAATAAATTAAATATGGAAATTTTCAAGGAATATTTTTAGAAAAACAAGACAACAAGACAAGTCGGAAAAAACGTCAGGATATCAAATTTGAACTAATTTTTAAGCTGTATTAATTATAATTGTGTTCAAAATTAGCATTCCATTATATTTTATTAGCTTATTTTCGAGTGCTCCCAAGGGTATATGGGTACATTTTAATATTTGAGGAAAATTTTAAGATTGTTTATCTTTCAAATAATAATATTTACTAGTAAAATTATTTTACAAATTTATATTTTAATATAGGATCAAATCGGTAATCGACATAGCTAGATTGTGATCAAGAATATATATAGTTTGTAGGGAAATGATTCTTTCACTGCATTTCAAACTTCTAACTAAACATAGAAAACCCTTGCAAGGGTTTAATGAACATATAAATAAATCTATACTATATTAACATTTTCCAGGATATATCCCCATTCGATCCGCATTACATCCCCCCATTTCCAACCTGCTTACGTATCTTGTTGATGTTTTCCTAGCTGAACTCTTCGTTGACGTTTGTTTATAATTTGCGTAGCGCTTCGATTTTATTATTTCTGTTGCTTCCTTCTGAAAATAATCATTTTATTTTGATCGCTCTCGACTCTGTGCCATAAATTATACCACCAAAACGGAACATGTGTGCTTGTGTTTGTTCCTCGGAAGGTAAATGAAAATTTACCCTCAAGAAGTTCCCGGCACATAAATATCTTTACACATTTACACATGGATTTTCTAAGAGTTTAAATTGTAAAATTTATGAAACAAGTTAAATAATAGTAATTTAAAATATTTGTAGTAGTTAATTCTCTCCTATTTTCTCCTGAGGTACTTATTATCTTTAATTTTAGTATATAAGTTTTCCTTTTAGCAATCTTTGCACTGAAAATTTAAGTGAGCTGTACCCTCAGCAGTGTCAGTCTTCGTTATTTTGGCCTCACTGCAATTTAATTAAAAAAAATTGTAACAATTTGCCGTAAATTTCACATGAGCTTTGGCCAATTTCGACGTTGCATGCGTTCGGCTCGTGTGCGCGTATCTGTATCTACGGAAGAGTATCTATGTATCTATGTATCTATGTCTATCGTTCGAGTGTGAGTCAATTTAGTACGCACACGGACGTGCTTCATGATGGCGTATGCAAATTGCTGTGGGGCAGGTCGCAAAGTAGCATTATTTGTTGGTCTTTGCCGTTGCAAAGCCGTTCAAGACCATGGTTGCAAGTGCACTTGGAGAAATTACTGGTGATTAACATAATAACGCTGGGTAACAAATGAAAACAAGCTAGAGAAATGGGTAAAATACTGAAAAAATATTGTATTCTGCTAGATATTTAATTTATGCAAGTTTATAGTTAATTTTGCTTAACAAAATTGTACGAAAAATGTATTATAATATTACCTACTTTAAACAGTAAACAGAATTAGATTTAATTCAAAGAAAATGATTACATTTTTGGCAAACAAATTTACAAAAAAAATGCCACATGCCGCAGAAGCGTCATCAGTACTACCAAAAATTACAATGAACGCCAAAAGAAAGAGCAATTGCCAAAAAGTAGTATTTACAAAATGTACATAGTACATTATTATATATAAATATTTTTGATCGTAAACAATTTTCGTTGTATTTTATTTGGCACAATTATTTTGGCCTAAGAGTAATTAATGTAAAGTATCTTTTGTTGCTACTCTCTTGAGTGATCTACGCCCAGAAGAAAACCTAGTTAAGAGCAGTCTTGATTTAGGTTCAAGAACTCTTAAGATTTAGGCGATTTCTTAGGGGAAAAGTCTTTACTTAATATCTTTTTTAATATTTTAATTAAGTTTTTTTTTTAAATTTTTAGTTGAAAAATATTATTTAATTATTTTTCTTTAAAATAATGCTCATGTTTATTCAAATTATAAGAAAACTGTTTCCTAAAATATAATCAAATACTCTTCCACATCAGCTGAGTATATTTTCCCGATCTCTTCGGTTTTACAACAATTATATTTTTCACTCAAATACTCTTTGATCGTTTTGTACTCTTGAGCATTTTAAATAAGTACTCATTCTCTCTTCTCTTCGATGTTAATGAGGGTGTTATTTTTTTAAGAGAGTGAGTAAAATAAAGATCGAGTGAGGTAGTTTTATAGAACGCTCAGCTGCTTTTCTCTGCTCTGAGATCTGCCCAGCTGATCGCTGCCTCTGCCTGCTGCGGCAGAGAAACGTGAACGTGACTCTTGTTTTTTTCTCGTTTAATTTTTATTTTTCTTATTGTCGACTTTTTTTCTTTCTTTATTTGTAGCTGGTTTTCCTTAGCTCCTTTGTTCGTTGGATCGTTTGCCAGCAGCCTCCACCTCCCCCTACCCCTACCCCACATCTTTGGCAAACTTTTTTATTGCCTCTGCCTCGGTCTCTGCTTCAGTTGACTGCAAAACCGACTGAGGCTGATCTTTTGCTTTAGCAGCAAATACACACACACACACACACACCACTATGGCATAGAGGCTTGCTTGCTTTTTGGTCTTATTTATCGTAGATTTCCTCATTTTACGCTTATTTGTTTTGAAATAAAATTAAACGACGCATGGCAAATCAAAAAGTAGCAGAAAAAACAAACAAATGAGGGGGGTGACGGGGGGCCAAGGGGAGGAAAAGCAAATGAACCGCAGCAGAAATGCATTTCTTTGATCAATCAGAGTGGGGTATATAGTTTTTCACAAAGGAAAAGTAAACAAAAATAATAGAAAAATTATTGTACAAAATTTATAATAATTAATTTATAGGGTGGGAAATGAACCTTCACAACATAACAAGCTTCTGACTTAAATTATAATCTCCTGAGAGGGCATAAAAAGAATAAATTTAACATAATTTGCAACTTTAAACCCATTCCCTGTCTTACATGTCGTATACGTAATATGCAAATTGTTCATCATATTCAATCTTCATTTGCTTAGCTTGATTGTCGTTTAATAATTGCAAAACAACTCTTTTCTTAATATTTTAAATATTTAAAATTCAGTATTCAATAATAAACCAGTTTGAATGTTTCACTTAATCCAAAATTCATATTTATATTGTTTTCAACTTACCATCAAATAAATGTTGCTTATGAAGTTCCTGTAGTAAAGCTGCCGTAGCTCCTAAATTGTTCAGGGTAAAGATTTGAAATCCAAACACTTCTATTTTCGATTTCAGTATTTGACAAATAAGATGTATGTAAAGTTCAATGAAAAATTCTCTAATCTGATAGGGATTTTTCCTAGGATCCTCTAGAAATTCATTGTTCATCTTGACAAGTTTTTTATACAATTGAGGCTTTAGTCTGGCGCCCTGTAATCTCTCTATAGTTTTGTATTTCTTATAGGTTTCGTATGTTGTAATTCCGATCAGAATGGGAACTGTAATACCAGCTTCCCGGACTTTTTTCACATAATCAATGATGGTTTCATGTTGATAGCACACCTGTGTGATAATGCAATCTGCTCCTGCATCCACCTAGGATAAGTAATTATTGGGTTAGATTAGTTTTTGATTTGGATTAAGCTTTGTAAATATGTTGTTTAATTAAGCTTACCTTTTCTTTGAGGAATTTCAAGTGTAATGTTATATTTGGAGGCATTCCCTTGGGTCTGTTGTAACCCTCTGGAAATCCACCCACGCAGACGGACATTTTATCTGTGAAAGATGAAATGAAACTCTAGAAATAAATTTACTAAAGCAATAAATATATTCAAAAAATATAAATAGTAGATATATCTAAAATATCTGACTTACCCTTTGATCTGGCTTTCGCTTTTACCACAATGTCTTTGCTATAGCGAAAACTCTGCGAGGGATAAATCTCATCGCCTCTCAAGGCCAACACATTGCGAAATTTAAGATCCAGAAACTGATCGAGACGCTCTTCGGATAGTCTATATAGGGTCAAGTGTGGCATTACGGGAATTCGTGGGGCAAGATGCTTAGCCAGCTGAAGACTTTCCACCTGACCTACAGGCTCCACAAACCAGGATGACCTACCCAGCCAGGCTACGCTAACGAAGAGGGGTAGCACCGGCAAAAAACGGCTAAAATTCAGACACACGGGATGATTTTCAGTGCGAGGTAATATCTCAATGCCATAGTAGAGGCGTCGTTGTAACTGCCTTTCATCGATAAGTGGTCCAATTCGATGCTCCTTCAATGCATTGGGAAGTTCAGAGGCAAAGGTCACGCAGGGCACAAAAGGGGGAAGCTCCTGGCTGGGTGCCATTGTTGTGTCTTCGAAGTGAGCCATTGAAAACTGCCATTTCAGGTAGTCAGACTATTACCAATCTCCGATCTGCCCTGACGAATCTAGTTTGATATGGTTCAGGGAACGGTCTTTGGTATTATAACGATTTGATTCAGGTTTGGCATTATACTCCCCAGCATATTAATACACTATTTATAAGCAAAACCTTGGCTTCCATTTCCTAATCATTTAATCTAGTACAAATAGCCAGAGAGTAAAGTAATTTTAAAACTTTGTCACTTCTAAATGGCAACAAGGACGACGAATCCACAAAGATTTATATCGATTGACATACACGTCGTATGCGCAATATGCGCATTGTCCATCCTAACGGCGTCATTTGTTTGGCTTAATTGCCGATAAATAATTGCAAAAGGCAGAGTTGCAAAACAAACCCAAACACACAACTCTGTGTCAACAAACTCAAGCAAAACGCGAAAAGAAAAACGTTGGAAAATTCGCATTCGCACATCATTTTTCAGGCCCAAAGCGACAGCTGCAAAAATAAGCAAAAAGAGAAAGAAAACACCAAACGGATTTGAAGCGTCGTCGGCAGTGAAACCTTTTAGTCCCCCGGATTCCATCTGTGTCATGCGGGGGGAGGGGCCAACAGGCGGAAGTCAACCCCTTGGAAATGCACTGAGAAAAATTTAAGAGTAAGGCAGTTATGAGAGTTAACTATGAAATGGGAGAAGTTTGCAGTCTATTTGCCAGAGGCAAGAAATATTTCGTTTTCTGTACAATTTAAACTTCGATTTAATTGGAAAAAATAACTCAGAAACTCTAGAAAAATTAACATATATTTCTTGCATTTATTATCATGAAATTCTTTAAGGTGATTTCTTAAAAAATTCCATGATAATAAATACAAGAATGTATGTTAAATCACTTTTCATTCCAGTGCATCGTCCTGGCACTTATCCCTTCTCCATGACCGATCAACCGCAAGTTACAAATGTCAAATGTTGTTTTTGTCAAAAAAGAACCTTTCAGTGGGGGGGAAGGGGAAACCTTAACACCCCATTCCCCTGAGGAAGGTGCGGTGACGCAACAGTTCTATTATTCAGGATGAAAACCGTCACAAATATGTCTACGCACTTCTTCTTTGGCTGTGATCCGTGACATTGACTGACATTGATGACGCACCAAGAGCCCAAGGATCTGCAACATTTCGCATATGCAAAAAAAGAAAAAAAGAAAAAGGGGAAGGAAGAAGGAATATCCGAGATCCATTCATCAAGCGCCGCTTTTGGGCCAGCTGCAGGACTCAAGAGTCCCGGCCATTAGCCATGTCAGTCCTGTCATTTGTTATTATTCGACTAAAGACCATATCCCATGGTCAAGTCAAAAAAGGGGTTGTCCCTTCCAGCTGCTTATCCTTTTCGTTTCCTTCTAATGCCAGCATTATGAATCCTAGACCACATCCGCATCAAATCAATTTAATCAAGTCACGCTTCCTTCGTAATCGAAATTATTACAAATTATTACGTATTTTAATATTACAATTTGATATAGAGGAAATCGTTTTCATTTATGAAAATTTTATGACTTATAAATCATGGTAAATAGTTACTAAAAATTCAGTTTCATTTTTCAAATAACACTTTATTGGAATTTTGTAGCTCTTTTTCTTTATCACTGAATAGATTTTGAAGATGAAGTTCCTTTAGCAAAGCTTCAACAGCTTCAAAGTGATTCAAAGTAAAGAATTGGAAGCCATAGATATTTAAATCAGCCTCCAGAATACTTTTAATTATATGCACATTGTGATGAACAAAAAATGTTCTAGTTAAATGTTCATCTGCCTCAGGTTCAGTTTGTAATTGAACCAGCTCTTGTCGCAAAAGTGACGGTAATTTAGCTGAAGTTATTTTCTCTATAAAGGTATATTTGTGGAAGGTCTGGTGAGTCATAATTCCAATCATAATCGGAGCCGTAATGCCAGCTGCCCGAACTTCTTTCACGAATTGGATAATGACCTCAGGTCGATAGCATACCTGTGTGATAATGCAATCCACTCCAGCAGATACCTAGAAAAAGAATTATTAACTAAGATACATTTTTGATTTGTATTTAATAATATATATTTAATTTATACCTTTTCTTTCAGGAACTGTATGTGCTTCGTTAGATCTGGAGCTTGTCCTTCCGTTATGTTGTAACCCTCTGGAAATCCACCCACGCAGATTGATATTTTATCTGGAGAAAGAGATTCTTATTAGTAAATTTAAAGCGATAATTTGTGAAATAAATTAACAAATAAAAAATAGAAGCAGCCATAGCTATTACTTATCTTGCAGCTTAGTTAATAACGATGTTTATTGAGCAATAAACAAAACAAATATATTAGAAGAGAAACTGAGCTACCTCAAACTTTTTGTATTCGTTAAGCAATGATGAATTTCAGACTAAAAATTATTTACGCTTTGCAAAGTAGTAAATAAATTATATTTTAGCGCATATTTTGTGATTATTCACGAAGAGAGGCGTGACAATGAGATAAGCTACTTTTTCAAGTCAAGTGAAATCACAATCAGTCGATCTTTAGCATTATCTTCTAGAGCTCTAGTTCACAAATAGTTTCTAAATATATATATTTATTAGTCTGACTGATTAACTTACCGCCTGACCTGTTTTTGGCCCTCTCAACAATGGATTTACTATGTGGAAATCGCTGCCCTGAAAACATCAAATCTCCCCGCAACGCCAACATATTTTTAAAACTCAAATCCAGGAACTGATCCAACCGTTCATCAGTCAATCGATAGGCAGTCAAGTGTGGCATTACGGGAATTCTAGGAGCAAGATGCCTGGCCAACTGGAGGCTATCCACCTGATCTATGGGCTCCACATCCCAGTAGTTTGTACCCAGCCAGGTCATGCTCACAAACATGGGTAGTATCGGCAGGAATCGATTGAAATCCAGGCATACGGGTTTGCCTCTGCTTCGAGGTAATATCTCCATGCCATAGAAGAGGCGTCTTTGTGCGTGATGTTCAGCTATGAGGGGTCCAATCCGTTGCTCCACCAACCCATTCTGTTCCGGGGCAAAGGTCACACAGGGCACGTACAAGGGAGGACTTGAACTCCGTACACCCGGCGTGCAGTGAGCCATCGATAGATAGAGATGATGCTAACGCTCTGGCAGATCGTCGAGAACTGCCAGTGCCCGCTAGGTGGCACTCGGATTGTAATTATCAGCGATCAGCAACGATCTAACCTAACGTATATAGTAGCTCGGACTCGCTCCCGAGTTTTCTATACAATATTAAAACGGCTTGGCTTGCTTGTGAGAGCGTAACTTGGTCGCCGGTTAAGTCATTTAAGATTTGATTAAAAATATCACAAATTAAAAGCCATACTTTAATAAATCCATACCAAGAATTTTTAGGATGAGACTAACTTATTCAATTTAGATTTGACGTAAAATAATTTTGGTTGCTTTAGGAAACCCTTATTAAGGCCCCTTGAATAGGCCCAGGTCATGAAGTTCCTTAATCATTAGGTGCACATTTTCAAACCTGTTCAGGGTGAAAAATACAATGCCCCATATGTCATCACTGGCGGCCAGGACCTCGCTAATAAGACGGACATTAACGCGAACAAAGAATCGGACAATCTCCTGCGATGGCTCGCTAGGGTCCGTTCCAAGTCGACACTGGATCTCTTCGAGTTCCTTGTCCAGTTCCGGCGGAAGTTCAGCTTCGCCACGTTTCCGCATCCTCTTGTAGCTAGAGTAGGAGTCGTGACCCATTATGCCAATCAGGATGGGTATCGTAATACCCTCGTCCCGACAATACTTCACATATTTGACAATGACCTCTGGCTTGTAGCACATCTGGGTGATGACACACTCAGCACCGGCTGCGACCTAAAATAAATGGTTAATAGGTCTGGTAATTTATACACTATAGTTTGGGAACCCACCTTTGACTTCAGAATCTCTATGTTCTTGGCCATATCTGGGGGACTTCGTTGGTCGGCTGTGTAGCCATCAGGGAAACCAGCCACGCAAATCGACATTTTGTCTAAGGAGAAAGGTTGCAACTAGGAAAAGAAAACTCGCAAAATCACAGAGTTTTTTGTGTATAGTCCGAAATGCAAGTGTACTTCTTAAATAAGCAAAACTTTATAAATCACTGTAAGGGTTTATTGTGATCAGAATCACTTACCGCCCTCCCTGCACTTAATAAACTGGGTCAAATCAACAGCATAGTTGAATACCTGGTTCGGTTCCACATCGTCACCTCGCAGGGCCAATATATTCTTAAAGTTTAGGGACAAAAAATCATTTATCCGCCGCTCGGACAATCGGTAACAGGTAAGATGCGGCACTGCAGGTATCTTTTCGGAGAGGAGCTTGCACAGCAAAAGACTTTCTGTTTGTCCAATGGGCTCCACATCCCAGAATCGTAGGGAATGCCAAACGACGCTGACAAAGACAGGCAGGACCGGCAGGAAGTTGTTAAAGTCCAGTTGCACGGGTCCTAGACGCGTACGGGCTAGGATTTCAATACCGTAAAAGAGGCGTCCTTTTGCCTGGTGTTCTCTGACTATCGTCCCGACACGCTGCTCTCCACCACCATCCTGTCCGGGGGCAAAGGTCAAGCAGGGCGTGAACGTGGATGAACAGCGATTCAGCGACATTTGAATCGCTTGAAACGCTCGAAACGCTCCCAAGTTGACGGATCGGCGAAAACCATTAGCTCCCGCCATCTGGTAGCGATCCTTACAACTATCGAGTCCAGCTGGACACCAGCCTAAGATTCCTATGCGGAAATATAACTATGTTAGAAGACTTCCCCGAGCCAATGAATTTAAAAGTCCAAGTTTCTAAATGATTAACATTTCAAAACAAATAGATTTCGAGGGGTAAAAAGCAAAAAACTCGATGAATAAAATAGTTGTGAGTTATATTTAATAAAAGAAACTACAAAGTTTTAAGCATGGAAACCATGATTGGAACCCTTTTCCTGTTTCAATTAACAGATTTTCTTTTATGCAGCTGCAGCTAGAGAGACCTTCAAATGTTTCCCCTTGAAGGAAAGGAAATCTTAAAATTAGTTCAGCTTCAGTCAATGTGCCTGCCATGTGCACCGTCCTCTTATATATATATATATTTATAGAGATATATATACATTTATGTGGGTGTGAGTAGGAACCTGTTTTTAGTCTTGTCGGAAGGCCGTTCTATATTTAAATCCATGAAGATGGCATTAGGGGAGATCGCTCCATTTAGAGCCATAATGCTTAGGAGACACATAAATGTGACAGTGAAAATATGCTGGAAATCATTTCGTTTTGGTAAAGTGAAATATTAAAATAACTTAAATATAAACCAAAAGGCAGCGCGACAAGTATTTGGGAATTGATGGAATGATTAGTGAGTAGATTTAGGGGAATGACACAGGAAATATGTTTTATATCAGTCGGAAAAGAGCTGCCAAGAATGGAATAGAATTAAAGAAATATAAAGAGATATACATAATAAATCTTTACAGAAACATAATAAATGTATGCTTTAGATTTAAGTAAAATTTTGTATATTAAAACAATACCTTAGTACCAAAAGAGTCTCTGGAACTTAATTCTTAACTTCACATTTTTCTAAGGTAAGTTAAAGGTTACCTAAAAAATTACCTTCCTGACATGGCTCTGCTAAATTTCCACCATAAAATTAAAAAGGATAATGAGTTCAATACCCTGAACACAACAAGTTCTCTTTGCTTCAGTGAATCTCTACTGGATAGCTCCTTCGTAGTTGCGTCACACAAAAAAGGTTCTTAAGAAAAGACTTCAATCAAGGCATAGAGCCAGAGGATTACCCCCGGAAAATGATTTGTTGAGGGAAAAATTACGTTGTACCGCCTTCGATCTTAACGCCTGATTGAAGGACCTCCTCGAAATTAGCTAAGCCTCTCATTCACCATAAATTGTTGTTGGGTCACCTGCTGTGCGAAGGGTTTCTCTGCTTTATTACTCCCATATTTTATATTTTATATATATTATTTTCAAAAAGCACCGAGGGATTAAATTACTGCGCGAGATGGAAAAAAAATCTTTGATGAAATGCGTCTGCTCAGAGCTGGGAAATGGGAATGAAACCGCGTCTCGGGGCACACGCATGAAGATACATTTTCTTAGGAGGTTCCTGCCTCTCTCCTTACCACAAGATACTTTGCTCAGTTGAAATTAAAAAATTCCACCGAGAGCTGGGAAATTATATTGCGGTGGCGGGGTAGAGTGGAAAAAAAAATGTAATAAAGACATGAGTTGTGAAAATTATTAAGATGATTATGGTGGCAGCAAAGCACTCGAGTGTAGGCGGCGGCACCGCCAAGGGTTTCATAATCAGTCTGAAATGCATAAGGACACTTGGAGGTAAATTTAAACATTTGCAACTTGAAGAGTGTTTACTGTGGAGGTATTGAAATTTTAAGGGTGTCCTGAAAAGTTTTTGGAAATGGGAATGCAATGAGCGACCGACTTGTCAGTTATTTAATTATGAATAGAAGTAGAAAATTCGATTTTTTTGATATGAATGCAGCTATTTTTAGTTTAGAATATATAAGAAGATATTAACCATCCATTTAATAAAGTATTTAGCCTTGAAAACCTTTATGCGCATTTAAAGGATTACCTAGTACATACTCACAAGTACATAAGGACGCGTGGAATTTTCCATGGCATTTCTGCAACCTCTGCTCACCGCTGCTGTGTGCGTGTTTCTGTGTGAATCATCATCCTTTTCTGGGGGTTGAAACACTGTCGATTTTGTTTTTGGGGGATGCATCTCGGGATCAGAGCATCGGTCGCACCACCAATTTTATTTCATTTCACTCCACTACGCTTTACCTATCGCGCCGAGCGGAATTTATCGCTTGTTGCTAAGCGGGACAAAAACGGCGCAGGACACTCATAACTGGGTGAGTGGGCTGGCCGGGTTCCCACTGACTCACTGACTGAATGCCACAATGGATGGTCGGATGGATGGATGGATGGATGAATGAATGGCTGGATGAATGAGTGAAGCCAAGGGCCAGGGCTTGGGCTCGCATCAGGGGGTTGTTTCGCCCACCGACGCCTGCTGGAAACGCATCATTATAATAGGTGCACTGGAAGAAAAATTAATAATAAAATTAGTTATAATATTGTGTACCTTTAAAAATTGAATTTTAAACTAAAATCAATTAAAACAAAGTCTTAAAGTAAGCAAAAAATACTTTTAAGGCGGAATTTTTTATATTGTGGAATTTCGTAGCATACTTTTTTGCGTCATTTTCATGAAACTGAAACCACAGAGATTCCTTTGTGTTTTACGTCTTATTTAATGTTTTTAATTTTTTTACAACTTTATTTTTAGGCAATGTTGCACCTGAAATGTTTAAAAACATTACATTTTTAGTTTTGATCAAAGAAATAATTTCTACAGCAAGTTTAAGGTAGGTTTTATACAAACTCTCTTCCGAAATAAATGAATTATATGTTTTTATATATATTATTAGTACCTATATATATTTTTCCCTGTGTAAAATCTGTTTAGGGCAGCGAGTGTGAGTGACGAGAGCCGGCTGCCGCAGTTGGTTTCAGATATTTTCAGTTGGCTTCGGTTTGATGGGTGGCACAGCAACCCCTGATAGCATATATAGCATATACATAGCACATATAGCACATCCTGCAACGAAGGACACCAGGGCCACCTTTGTGCGTTTCGGTTGCAAATCTTTTGGAAATTGCGTCATCGCCGTGCGGCGAACGTGGCAGGCACGCAGCCGAGTTCCCATTCCCTCGGTCCTTGCCAGTCCTTGCCAGTCCATTCTCCATCCTTTGAGAGAAATCCCCTGCAATCTCGTATGAGTTACTGACATAATTAGGACTTAACTGGAAGTCACGCGCAGCGCATTCGTAATCCGAGTAGTCCTGCTGCCTGTGGTACATGGGATTCAAGGTCACATTTCCATTTCCATTACCATTACCAGCTGCGGTCGAGTGAGCCGTCAGCGATTCGATTTCATCTCATTTGGCAGTCGGCATCTGTCCTTAACCCATTTGGATCGTTCATTTGAAGAGATTACTAAAGGTCCACTGCAGGATAACGTGGCTGGACTTTAGATATAGTATTCATTTCGATGAATTAAATAAGGATATAGGAAGAAATATCAATTTTAGGGTTAATCAATATGATAGGAAAGGAACCTCATTAGTTAATATTAGGTAGAAATCTATAATACAATTTATGAGATAGGAAATATATCTTTAAACGTGGAATCCTGATTTAGAATCTTTGAATTTGATTTTCTAAATATAAGAAACCCATCTTCTTATTAATATTGTAAAACAATCTGCTAGCTATAAATAACATGCATTTCTTTACTATTTAAGTCTTCCAAAATCGATATGCATTATACATATATTAATATTTAATATCTCCAAAAACCCACACAAAACCAGACTTTAGGTCACACCTTTGTTTCCTTCAAAATCATATTGTTATTAATTTAATGACCAAAATAACATTCTGCTGTTGATTACATATTTCACATTTATAAACATTGCTCGCCCGCTATATACATATATTTAATTTCACATTCACGGCCAAGTCTTGGGGTTTTCCCGGATGTCTAAGTCATGCCCAAAAGGAGGAGGGGCGGGGGGAATGGGTGTTCCCAAAGTCCTGAAAGGAAAAACAGGACGCACAATGGGAAAAGCAAGTCAGCAGGCCTGCACACACACATGCACACACGCACCAAACTAAAATATGTGTAATTTAATTATGGGCCTGCCAGCGTCGACGTCAACGTCGACGTCGCGTACGGCGGGTGGCAAATTGCCAAAAAAAAAGGAAAATAAATAAATAAAAAAATCAAGGAGAAAGTAAGATAAAATGAGAGGGTTCTAATGAGGACTGTGGAGTACCTAGTAATGAGAAAAATTGATCCCTAACAAGTATAAATAAATATATTACCTGATAATGATTTAAAATAAAATATATAGAATCACATATTTCATAATTTTCATAATTATAAAAATTAAATAAAATAACCTTTCCCTTTTTATAAAACTGTAGAAATGTAGAGATAATAAAGCAGTTTTTTTTATATTTAAAAAGCACTGTTGAATCTACTGTTTAACTATAGTTTACCTTTTTAATATTTTTTCTCTATAAATATTTATAATTTTTATTTTATATATACTTTCTCTTGTTAATATTTTCGTCGCAATGCCAGACAAGTAAACAAAGAAATTCTCGAAAATTCTCCCTTCCCCTGCTATATACACTTCTCTAGAATACAATATACCCTGGCACCTTTCCAAGTACCGGGTATATATAACACAGGGATGTAGCAAAAAAAAAAGGGGGAATGCCGTACGTACGCATATCCTGCTGCTCAAAAGTCCTGCCCTTCGTCCCGATTTTCCTACGCTTTCTGCGCCTTTTGTTGCCTTGTTTTTCGTTACCATTTTCCCCCCTCTTTTTTTGTTATTTTGACTCAAGCTGTGCACATTTTCGGTTTGATTATCGAACACAATATTTTTTCCGCTTTCCTTGTTGGCCATAATTGACGATTGCGCCATGAGTCGCCACAATTTCCCCCCTGAACTCCGCCCACAAGGACATCCTATTTCGCATCCTCTGGACGGCGCTTTCCCTTTTAATGAAATTTTTCCCTGCGCTGGTCGAGTAAACACATTAAACAGATTTCAATTTTTTAATATTCAAGCTTTCATTGGGTGGTATGTTGCTTTTCTTTTTCTCCCTCTTTCTCTGTCAGGGGGTCGTGGAAATTAATTTGTAATGCGGAAATTGTAAAAGGCGAAAAAGATCTGAAAATTATGTTGTAATTTGGAGCGGCGACGCGAATTTGATTGAAATATTACTTCAACGAATTGCCATTAAACTCAATAAAATCCAGAGCTGATGTATATGAATGAGATTTTAAATGTGTTATTAAAGTATTGGGAATGTTTAGGCTTGAATATCAGGATAAGCTGTTACAGGATTGTTGTTCTGAGATTGAAATTAATATTTCAGGTCCTTAGGAATGGTTAAATTTCAGGAAAAACTTGAATACATAATATTTAAGTAAATATATATGATTTATAGTGTCGAAAATGACTCGTTCATAGAGTTTCTAGCTTCTAACTGAGATGATAATACCATGGAAGGGTAAGCCACCAATCTCCCTTTCTCTAAACTCCAAAGATAACCCAAATCTAGATCGATTCGTCTGTATATGCTGGTTCGAAATATCCACTTCAATAAGGCAATAAAAAATCTGAAATCTTTAAGAGATACAAGTAATCTCATTCAAGCATGAGATGTGATGTTCCCCACTCGAAGAGATACAAATGGTTGATACGATTCAAGTTGGCTGTCGTCGATTATTGCCACACAATTCAAGGCGGGTTGAAGGTAACACACTAGCCGAGACAATAGATCGCGCCGCCCAAAAATGGAAGATTCGGGCATTAATAACAGCAATAAAAAGAGTCGTAAAACGAGCGGCAGTAACCGTTAAAGCCAGAGAAACCCGTTAAGAGCACGAGCACAGCCGCAACACCCACCCACACACCGAATATGTAAAATGGAGCTAATGCCATGCACAAAGCCAAAAATAATAAACCGAAGAGGAGCCACAAATATTGATAGTACAATAGGAGGGGGGAGACAGCCCAAGCCCATAAATGGTGGCCAATACAGGCCTTTGCCTCGGAAACCTCACAAAACCTCACTCACTTACAAATCTTGTATGGCATATAGGCTCTTTTATGGCCACTCGGTTTCGTGAGTTTCTTCAGAGATATTGATTTGCGACGCTGCTGAGGTGCTGAGGTGTACCGAGTTATAAGGAAGCCGCGTGAAATGCGATTATTGTCACGGTCATGTTTTCCCCAAAGTCAGCAGTCAAATGTCAAGCCATCTACAATTTCCTTCATCAATTTAATTGGATTCAAGATATTAAGACAACATTTCCCAACTATTTCTAAATTATTTGGAGATTTTAATTTAGTATTCCATAACCCTAAACCCTCTTCGAGATATTACTTTCGTTTGGTATTTGGTTTACAGTAAAATTTATCTTTGTTGAAACAACATTTTATTAGTTAAACAACCTAATAAACTCTCCCCGTAAACTAAGCCTAAGTAAATGCTTCTAATTTGCCATACTAAAATCAGATATATCCTGGATCACAAACTCATATTTATGGGTCGTAAAATCCAATTAGCATGCAATATATTCATCCCTTCGGACCCAATTCCTGGGCCAATATGTGTTGATCTAGCCATGTGTAATGGCAAACACCTTGCGCCACAGAGTCAAACTGTCAGGCTGTCGTTACCCTCAAAGCAAAGGTATCAGCCTCAGGTATATATTATATATACATAGTCTAGGGTATATATATGTACATATACCAATATGTATGCACGAAATGTCTATTGTTTCTGTCTGTTGATTTTTCTTTCTACGGCCTGCATACATTTTGAGGTTTGCTTTCTATACACAAACAGGTAGGTCTGGCAAATGGGAGACAGCTTATAGTTTGGGAATATATTTTAAACGGGTATTTATACCTGAAAAGAATATATATTTTATATAAATTAGTAACTTGAAACATGTTCAATTAAAGAAGTTGTAGTCTAGTCAATATATTAAGTAATGCCTCTAAGAAGAGTATATATGCCAATCTATTTTAGCCTGATTCCACTGTAATATGCTTTTCTCCCAGTTTAGGGCCACTTAGAGGCGACTGGCGAACTAGTTGACTGTTTGACTGAATGACTGACTGACTGACTGTCGAAATGACGCGCCAAGTGGATGGATGACTGACTGATTGCATGACGAACTAACGAAACTAACGAATTGGCGGTCGGTCCAACCGTTGCCAAACACTCAAAACAACAAGAAAATAACACACACACTATATATACACACACACATACACCATAGAGTGTGTATGGACACTCAAAAACAACAAGACGGAGAACAGGAGACCTCTTAAAAGGCTGGCAGCATGGTAGAAGCAAAAGTAGAAGAAACACAATAATGGGCTCGAGACCCCCGGACCTAAGTTTACTTTACTTTGCCTTTTTCACTTTTGATATTTTGACATTTTCATTTGACAGCTGATTGAAGGGCCCACAACCAACAGCACCAACAACACCAACACCAATACCAACAACAACAACAACGTTGGCTAAGACAGAAATAACAACAACAAGGTGGTGTGATTCGATTTCGATCGATGTTGTGGCGACACAACCAAAGAAGACAGGTACACAGGAAAAATAAATTTTATTGCAATCCATAATTCAAAACATTTGAAATAATGGATTTTTAAGAGTTTCAGTAATTATAAATGGCTAGAAAGGTGACTAGATTAACGTGGCTTAAGATACTGCCAAGATGTAAAGATAAAGTAAATAATCGCATTACTTCTGAACTTTAATTAAAGTTTTCCAGGTTCTTTTTATTTGGTTTTCGAAAAATAACATAATAAATGATAAAGTCAAATAAAAAGTATATATATTGTTTGATCCATTAGTTCTCTATCTAATTTAATAAATACTAGAATAATGTTTCAGTGTCTCAACTGGGTACAAATGATAGCGATAGCTTGTTGTCAGGTCGAATAGTGCTCACGCTCATGTGGTGCTGTGGTGTCAAGTGCCCAGGCAGTGGGGCAAATACTCAAAAATTGTTCAGAAAATATACATAATAAAGAAATAATAAAGAAAATCATATATGCTAGCCAAGCCAAAAGATGCTGGTTGTGGATAAAAAATAAATCAAATGATTTATCATATGAAATATGAATCATTTTGTTTCTGGTTTTGTTCACTCATTTCTTAACACTTCTAAGTGGAGGGTTCCTTAGTTTAATATTAAAATATTATGAATGTTTTAAAATTTTAAAAAATTAATTAAATAAAAAATTTTAAATAACAGAAAAATATATAGTTTAACAGAAAAACAAATCTATAGGCGCTGTAAATGCCTGCTTAGATTAATTATTTTTGCTAATTTTCTTAAGGAAACTTTCTAAATAGACATTAACCCTGACTATTGATTAGTTTCAAAATATACTCCCATATTTTTTAAATATTTTTTTGTAGCCACTGTGCCCAGAGAAAGGAGGAGGAGTAGGTGCGTTGCGCATATGAATGTGTGACATGTTTGTCGAAAATGTTCAAAGTTGTTTGGCTCTTTCGGTTTGCTCTCATTGCTGTTGTTGTCGTATTGCTCGCTTGATGGAAATGGAAATGGAAAAGCGGGAAAAGGAGGTGGAGGTGAAAGGCGGGACAGGGAACGGGACCGGGACGGGAGCAGTGTGAGCATTCGATTTGCCAGTGCAGGCCAAGTTGCGCCTAATGGCGTCGCGTGCGTTAACTTTTAGCGTCAAGTGTCATATAAAGTCTGTTTATGTGTATGTATACACTGGTGGAAAATAAGAGAAACAAGTCATAGGAACATATATATTTTTAGAGAATTTAGTATATATATAATTTAAAGAAGAGATTGATCCCACCAATATCTTATTTATTTATAATATAAATGTCATGGTTAAGACTTACCGCAGTAGAGGACACGTCATTGTTTACTTCCTTCCAGTGTTGTGACCAAGAATGCTGATTCCATCCAAAGGGAGCTTCTTCCTAGTCATCCAGATGTATTGTATTGGCCACGTCATATTTTTTAGGCCGAAGGCTGATCACTTGCACTATCACTTGAGATGTTAACACTAGGTACCCTAGGACAGACTGAGGCGCGCGGGCCCTTAGCACCTCTATTTATAGTCCCTGGGGAAAGAGAGGAGCAGAGAAAGTGAGTGTGAGTGGGCGGGAGAGGAGTTGCCTCTAGAGATTAACGAAGAGCCACTAACATAGCGAGAGAGGAGGAGAGGCTGAGAGGAGCAGTGAGCTGATATTTAATTTAACTCTGATCATTAAGTAACTCTGATCAGTTAATATCAATAAGCATTAAGTAACTCTGAACAGTACGTATCTATGAACATTAAGTAACTATGATCAATAAGTATCTATGACCAGTACGTATCAGTTACTAACTTTGAACACTAATAAACAATGACTTGCAACTTTTGGAACACAACACATTTCAAAGACGTGGCCGGCAGCAGTCACTTCGTTCCGGGGATGTTAGAACGAGTTGAGAATCATATGCACAGATGTGCGAGATGTGTTTTGGAATAAATTTAAGCTAATTGAATAAAACTATGCAGTTATTCTTCTACTTAATTTTACTAGTTATAAGTCGGAGCTTGGCAAATCGGTGGACTATATATATACATATATATAGCTGCCATAGGAACGATCGGACGATTTATAGAACTAGGATCAGTTATTAACTATGGGCAGTAAGTAACTCGAACAGTGAGTATCTATGACCAGTAAGTAATTATGATCAGTATCTATAACCAGTAATTAACTATGAGCAGTAATTATCTATGATCAGTAATTAACTAAGATAAGTAACTATCTATGAGCAGTAAGTAACTCTGAATAGTGAGGTTCTATGACTAGTAAGTATGTATGATCAGTTACTTACTTTGAACACTAGTAAACAATGACTTGCAACTTTTGTAACACAACACATATCTGAGACTTGGCCGGCAGCACTCACTTCGTTCCGGGGATGTTAGAACCTGTTGAGAATCATAAGCTCAGATGTGCGAGATATGTTTTGGAACAATTTTAAGCTATTTTAATGAAACTATGTAGGTATTCTTGTATATAATTTTACTAGCTTATAGTTTGGAGCATGGCGAATCGCTGGACTATATATATACATATATATTGCTGCCATAGGAACGATCGGACAATTTTAAGAGAAGAAATTATAACTTTTCAAGTGCGAAGTTAGCTGCCTTTCTTGTTTATAATTTGTATGGCTTTATCAGGTAAATATTAATCTTATCTAGCAATTGTTTAACTAAACCTCGCTTAGAAATAAATTCTTCTATATAATAAACTGTATTTCATTTCCCAATTTTTTGGTAAACACATTTCTATGCCTGATGTGTATTCTCTCAGTGTTTCATGTGTGTGTATTTTATGCTGTGTTTGCCTAACTGCACATGACAGTTGTTGAGCATTAGCCTGATCCAATTTGGCATTCCCTGCCCCTGCCCCTGCCCCTGCCCCTGCCCCATACCCCGACCTCCTCTCTCTTTCTATATCTGCCCTTTTCGTGGAGAGTGTCCATTGTGGCAGCGAAATGACCCGAAGCACTCGAGTGACACCTTTTTTGGGCTTGCGGCCCGGCCTTCTTTGCATTTAATTGCCCAAAACGAAGGCCCACATACATGCCACACACACACACACTAACACACACACCTTTATGAGGGCCCTCCAAAAACGAGAGCTAATCGAAAGCGTTTTTACTTTCATTTCCTTCTCCAGTGTCGCCCCATTTCGGTTGACATTAGTTGCAGGTAACCTTTAGGTATCCACCAAACCAATTATGTTTCCTATGTGAGCGGGGCTAACTATCCAATTAGGAGTGGAACGTCCAGGTAATAATGAGCTAGCTTTTGTTTGAGGGGAAAACTATAAGGAAAACTACTAGTGAATCTTCATGTAAATAAGTCATTTGGTAAACTATTCCAAAAAGTAATTAAAGGAGAGAACATGGAATATATTTAAGGTAAATAATTATGAAATATGTAGCTGATTAATATCCCTTACCTACCTGGGATATCCTCGTAAAATAAATCAAGGTTAATTTGCAATTTGCCTGGAGTAACTGTCTACTGATTGGTGTAAGCTATTTACACTAACTTGGCTCTAATCCCAGCTGGCCATTGCTGAAATTGAAATACAAGCTGCTGAATTTGTCGGTAAACAGTTGCGGAGCCAAAATGAAGATTGACGAGGAACATGCACCGCCCACTAAATACAGATTCCTCACCAGGAGCCAGGAGCCAGGAGCCAGGAGCCATCATCCCGAAGACATTTTAATGTAATCCCGTAAGATAGGGACTCGAGTGCAGGGGAACTGCAGGCAAAGGACATGGCACGGCGCTACACGGGACAAATTGCATTGCCATTTCCACGTTTCGCTCAAGCATCTCAGCATCCCAGCATCCTGGTATCTCAGCATCCCAACATCCTGGGTAACCCACCCCAAAAGGATCACCACGGCAACTGGGCTCTGTTCTTAAGTGCTCGAAAGCGCATAGTTCGCCAGCTTGTGTGGGTCTGCTGGGAGCATACTAGCAGGAGTAAGTGTAATCAACATGCAAGCACAACAAAGGACGAAAGGAAAGTGCACTATAAAAAACGAATAAATAATTTATAAAAAATATATACTATAAAATAAAATCCCATAATAAACTGCCTTCCTCTAAGGTATAAAGAATTTTCTAATAAATATATGGTTTATAGTTGCTAATACATAAAATCCGGAATATTTATGCTTTAATCAAGCAATTTAAAGAATTAATTTTCCATTTAAAGGTCTGATCCTGATGAAAGTCTGTGCAATTATACTTAAAACTATATACTAACTGAAAATGTACCAGCAAAATTATTCTTAATATAAAAAGAGGTGTTAAAAAAACATGGAAAAAGAACATATGAAGTCCAAGTATGGTAAAAAAAATCCCAAGAAATTGTAAATGTATTAAAATAAAAACCTTACTGTTCAGATATCAATCCACATATATTCCACATATATAATCATATATTATATATATTTTTATAAAACTCTTATACATTTTTCCCCAGTGTAGAGAGCTGCCCTCACGTATGCCTCGGAGTGGCGTTCAAAACGAATTTGCCACAGCACTTGAGCGCTCAACAGGACGAAGATGACGGGCAGGGCCATGGAGGAACACCAACCCGGGGCTGGATGAGTGAGTACGAGGACTAGGACCAGGACCAGGACCAGGACGCGGAAGGACCAACCTCGATGGCCATATATGAGGGGTGGTGTACAGAGAGCATACATACATAGGTACTATAACCACGCAACTCAGCGCAGTGAAAATAATGACGGCGAAAACAATTGCAACAGCGGTAAACAAGAACTCGCTCGACACGCTCTCGACACTTGAAGCGGCCCAAGGAGCGAGGGGAGGAGTCCTTGGTACCTGGACTGCCGCCTCAGATCCTTGGCAAAACCAGGGGATATGGAATCCTGGACTGGCACGCAATCACGAGCATTGCCACGGATGCGGACGCGGACACGGACACGGACTGCTGCTGTTGTTGTTGTGTAATAAGCATTAATGGGGTGCTCGCCGGGATTGCCGTTACCGTTGCCACGGCCGTTACCTATTCATCCCAAATGTTGTTTGTGTTTATCTGTCAACATGCAACGTCGTAGCCATGGCCATCGCCATCGCATCACATCGCTCCCTGCATGTTTGCGTTGGATGCTGCTGCTGCTGATGTTGCAACAGAAAAACAACTCGAATCGGATGGCCATTACCGTGGATAGGAATGTGCGAAAATGTGTGCAAAAAAGGTTTTTATTTAGATTAAAATGAGAGGAGAAAAATGGATAGACAATGGGTAGGATGGTAAATAATATGAAAAATGGAAAAAGAATATAGTAAATGTATTTAAACCAGAAAGAATGCTTTTAAGGGATTGCTCTTGTCACTTGTCTTTATTTATGGGAAGCTATAAAAGTATTTATTTTAAAAATTATTGGAATATCTTAGAAGAAATTAAATAAAGGAAATTTAATACTGAAATTAATAAAAACTTAAAGAAAGTAACCCTAGGAAGCCAAGGTACCTACACCCTTGCTGGTTACAACAAGGTCTTAGGATCGAATAGGAAATTGATTATAGCTAAGCCGAAAAATTGATTATTTTCCATATATATCTAATATAATATATGTTTAGAACACATATAATAGATATCAGAAAGAATATTTGAATCAGACATCAGATATTTTGGAAAATAATTAAAAAAGTACGTTTTTCTTTCTTTACCATAGTTTCTTTAACCATTTTTCGTTTGCAATTTAGTCAGAGTAATAGTAAACATTGCACACTAATATTTGGCAGAATTTTTCTATAGGATTTCCCCCCCTTGAACCCACTGTTACACACCGCCATCATCATCAGTGTTTCGCCGCCGTCATCCCCGAAACCCATCATCAGCAATGATGATTTTCATGATGATGACGACGCTGCCAACGACAGGGAGCGCGTGTGAGAAATCATCTTTTTAATTTTCACAATCAAATGTTTTTGTTATTATTTTTTCCACTCGACTACCGCATTTTCCGAGCCGGGCTGCCGGGAGCTGCAGGCAACGGATAGAGCGAGCAGCTGTCCAAAATTGAAAACGGGGTGGATATGGGATGGGATATGGTATGGGATATAGGATCTGATGGGGTGTCTGCATGGATGAGAGGGGGCCTTTGCCACTCAGAGACTCGAGTTTTTGTTTTGTGGTTTATTACACGCAAATAAATTACATTTATGTTTGTTTGTTTTCATTTCCATGCAGTTGCCGACATTTAGGGATGAGAGTTTTCCAGGCAACAAATATATATATATAAAACCAAAAACAAAGGTAAAAAGAATAGAAATTGATATAATTAAAATTTTTAAAAGTATAACTGTGTTAAATATATTTTTAAATATTTTATTTAGTGAAATACTGATAACTTTTCTTCCAGCAAAATACTGACTCTTAATTTTTTATAAACGAAAAATGACTGCTAAGTTTTCCCATCTCTAATATCTAGTTTTGCCAACATTTGCTTCGATTTTCAACTGTAATTTTTCCTCTACAATTTTCCCATACACTTTTCCACAACCCTGCACTCCCCTCTCCCCTATGTAATCACCCCTCTCTCTTGGGCATCTGGTGCCGCTTTTCGATTGTTGGCTGCTCTTTATTAATTTGATCATTTCATGATTGCCGTTGTTATTGCTGCTTTTGTTGTAATTAACCTTTTGTCTTTGTGTATATGGATGGGTGTCATTGTCATTGTTGTTTTTGGTGTAGTTGGTGTTCATTTTGGCCAAAGTTTTGGTCTATTTGTCGGACTCGAACCCGAACCCTGGAACCCTCGAACCCTCGAACCCTCTCGAACCCTCCTCTGTCATTGTGTGTTGGCAGCTCTGGTCAAAAGGTCCGTCGTCGGATCCCCAGCTCCCATCGGTCCATTGTCCCATATTCCCATTGTATTTAGTGACATCAGCACAGAATGGCCAGAAAACCCAAAAGTCCGAACTGGAAGCATTCCCCTTTTGACCATTCCCTGCTGTGTCTCCTCTGCGGACTTGAACATTTTGGGTATTTTCCGGCTCGGTTTTCAGATGCTAATTATGCACTTGACATTTGACGAGGGCGTGGAAACGCCTTCCTCTTGGATGCTGCTTAGACTTTCATTATCCACGTACAAACAAATTACAACATAACCATAACCCCTTGACCTGTTAATTGCACCGGGGAGGATGACAAGTATCCCAGCAGGCTGGAGTTACATCTTGACTCCAATATTTATAATGTAACAATACAAAGAAATTTACTTTTAACATTACTATAAAGTTGGAAAGATTGTTAATTATATAAATCTCAGGCTTGGGAAGTTGAAAAACTCTTTAGTTATTACTTTAAATACTAACAAATATTATATTTACACGATCTCTAAGCCTAAAAACCACATTGAAATTATTTTTAATATAATTTTCAGTTAACTCTTAAAGAGCTATGTTGTCTCCCTTCACTCCCCTTAACTTAATTTATTTATTTATAAGCGCTTTTATTCCTTGTTCAACGCATTATATTTCGTACATAAATTTACATTAACATTTTTTCGCATCATTTCACAGCAATGGCTGAAGGCGAACACAGGACCAAGGGGGCGGAAAAATAAAACATTAAAAGCCGAGAAAAACCAAATGAAACTCATTAAAATTTTACGAACTTGATGTTCAGAGCAGTTTTTCTCTTTTTATGGTTTCCGTATTTTTCCTTTTTTTTTGTTTTTGCCACAGCACTTTGCCTAATTTCATGGCCAAAAGCCTAAGAGGCGACAGAGACGTCAAGGACCAAAAAGACATTTGAAATTTTGATCACGTTACGCTTTTTTAATTGTTCCCCTGCGGCGCGCTCATTAAAAACGCCCTTCGTCCTCCATCTCCCCCTCCCTATATGCCATATCTTTCCGTGGTAATTGAGACCTCCAGAATTTTAGTTCCCCTTCAATTTCCATTCCCCTACACACTTGAGCTCCTTGGGTTTCCGTTTCCTCATTTAAATTGAGCTGAAATTATTTTAAAGTTTTATTGACTTTCCCTTCTGGAGACGAAGCCTCCTCCGATTTCCCTGTAATTCGTGTGAGCAGATTTTTACGACACAACTCATACCCTGCAGCTGGTTACTTTTTGGGGCTGCCACGTCGGCAATTTCCAAATTAGCTTGCAGCAATTTAAATGTTGTAAAAAAATATAAAAATAACATGACGAAAGACGACGACACCCAACATCCAACACTCAGAAGCAAGCTTTATGGCATTTGGCCTCGGGTTATTTGTCGAGTTAAACTCAAGACGATTAAGCTGTTCGAGGCCAGGGACCAGGATCAGGCCGAAGCCAAGGACCAGTCATCTAATTATCCTTATTCGGATGGCCTATTAACCGGGATGAGTCGCTTTTAGCACCCACACAAGCCCATTAGCATTGCACGACCCATAAAAAGTTTGGATACACCGAAACATCCTCCTAATAGATGACAGCCGTCGATGGTTGTTAATATCAATTTGTCAACTTGGCCAAGGGAATCGTTTTTGGCTAGCAGTACCAGGAAAATCGGTATAAGTTTCTTAATTAATTTTGTGAAATTTTATCTATTGGTTCCTGAAGGATAAAATTTGATTTTAAAATGAGATAAAAGCTTGTTGAAGCTTAACTTCATGATTAAGAAATATTTTGTAGAGTATACTTTATTATTTGACATTGATAATATGCGTTGTGCTTTAATATGGAATATATGTTAAACTTAAAATAATTCATCATATCAAGTTATCTATATTATCAAGTTACTTTAAAACATATTTCAAAATGAAATACTTCAGGAAAAATAGATCGTTAAGCTAGAAATAAGAGAAAGAAGGATAATTAAAGAAATATTGTACTCAAGTCATGATTTAGGCGTACAATATTTTAAGTAACATCGTAATTAATTACTTTACTTCAGAAGTAATTGAAATTATTTAGTTATGGGGTCCAAGGCAATAGGATAATTAATTGAAAAGGAAATGCAAAGCTAGCACAGCTGATTCAAGCTCACTCTTATAGTAAATATATACATAATATAATTGTCATGGTTAAGACTTACCTTAGTAGATGAGACACTGTTATCATTTTTCATCGATGCATAATTCCTTCCAGTGTAGAGTATGTATCCATGGTGTCTTCAATTAGATTTATCATGGTAGCATCGATTTGGTTCCTTCCTGGACATCCAGATGGATTGCACTGTTCAGATGACATATTGGAGATCGGAGGGCAATCACTATCACTGCCACTATCACTCTTCGATGTTAACAGGTGGGGGGTCGCGCACTGACTAAGGGGCGGCGCCGACTGCAGCGCCTCTATTTATAGTCCCCGAGCAAAGAGAATAGAGAGTGTGGGAGAGCGAGAGTGAAATGCATTCCTCTAGAGAAAGGCAGAGAGAGTTAGAGAGAGAGAGAGGAACCTCCAGAGCTAGCCAGATAGAGCTGACGAGAGAGGGAGAAAGGGGGCGAATTGCATTTCCCTCTTTGTTTAATGATCGTTCCTATAACAGCTATATGATATAGTTTTTCGATCTGATGACTTATTTACTGAGCATACTTTTGATTAAAGTTATAATACCCTCAAGGGTATATTGAAGTAAATAATTACATAAAATAAATTAATTAATTAAGTAAATTAAATATTTTTAATAATTGATTAAATAACTAAATAAATAATTAAAGGAAGTACTTGTAAATTCGCAAATCTATTTAGAGTTAAATCAAAGCCCGGAAAACGGCTTAATCTATAATCGATGACGGCAGCATCTGCTCTACCCACCGACTAGGTATCTCCCATTATAATCTCCCCTCCCCAAGTGTTCCCCCACGCACCTGTCCCCCTTTACCTCCCCCTCCCCTCTCCAACCTAGTCTTGGCGGTACTGCTAATTAGCCATTTGCATATCAACTTGGGCCACAGATGTCCGGGGCCATAACATCAAAGTTAAGTGTCCTCCCTGGGGGCGGGGAAAAGAGGCGATGACAAATCGGGGACCGAGAGTTATGCACTACGCACGTGACTGGGCAGGATCGCACTTGGTCCTTGACAGTCCTTACAGTAGTTCCTTGGACACGGAAGCGATTTATTAGATTTTCATTAAACAAACAAAAGCGTCCGACGCATTTAATTGCTTAATTTATTAATAACCAAGTGAGGGAGAGGGAAGCGGGACGCGGGACTCCAAGCAGCTGTCGCTGCTGGGCCGGAGAAGAGGGGGGAGAGACAGAGGAAAAGGAAAAATAAGGAAGCCGGGCTCAAATTAGTTTTTCATCACGAAATTATGCCGGAGACGGAACGTCAATTTGGCACGCCCCGAAATGAGATTCGTCCGACACGAATACAAAGCCGAATGAGTACAATAATGAGGCAGCCAAGGAGGTGGGGGAGATACACTGAGCGAAAAAACATTGGGTTTAAAAATATACCTTTGTAAGATCTAAGCTTGAGATATAAATTGATGTCTTATTTTTGGGATTGCAAATGGGGTACAAATGTTCCCCTTTTTGTATTTTATTAATATTAATTATTTAATTAGTTTATTTTTAACAATTCCCATCTTCTTACACTTCTTTTCTCTCTATTTGTTGAGTTTTGTGCGTGGCAAGTCCTTTGGGTAAATTAACACTCTTTGATTAGCCCCGCCTCGTACCCGAAAAAAACAAAAACGCTCTTATTACGTATACGCCATGTTGGCAGTCAATCAATGGACACTTGAGCAACGCCTGGCCTCCAAAAAACCTACTTCATCGCCCCCAAAAAGGAAGTAGGATGCTGGCTGGCGTATGCTTCTATTGTCCCCAACTCCCCCACAATCCTCCTTTCCTACTAAGTTCCATCTCCTGCTCCTTCTCCTGCTCCTACTCCTGCTCCTACTCCTTCTCCTACTCCTGCTCCAGCTCCTGTTCCGCATTGCTCCTGCTGCCGTTGTCAGGCCCAAGCAGAAAGTTACGCAATTTTTGCTTATTATTTTCATAATCAATATTCAATTTAGACGAAACACTTGCCAGTCAACGTGGCAGCCTCCCCAACCACGGCTTCTCCTCATATTTCCTCGACGCTCGAAATGAGCTTCAAAGGATGTGGGAGAAGGCCATGGAGAAGGGGAGGAGATGAAGCCAGAGGCATGGGGACATCTAAGTGGCAGTGTGGCCTTGATGATGGTGAATGGAAAACCTCAAAAAAATTTAAATGTATCGAAGTTATTGTATAAATATTAAATACATATGTAAATAAATAAGCAATAAATGATTAAGAACTGATAATTCTATAAGTTTTGACAAGATCTTTTGGGGTTTCCTTGACCAAAGAAGACTTCTTAAATAAATTTTTCAATTAATATACAATAATTTTCTATACAATGACTTATTTATTTAATTAAAAAAGCATTTATATTTTTTTTTTTTTCCTTATTTACCCATCACAAAACCACTGTTCCACAAATGCCAGTTTTGCGTAAATTTCCCTGGAGGCAGACGCTCTTTTACCAGGACATACCGCCTGCCAGCCCGACTAACTGACTGACAGACAGGAGCTGAATCCATGGCAGGAGGACTCTCTGGGCTCTCAAGGAGGCGGCAACATTCTGCATTGAACTTATAATTAAACATGGAAAACGTGGAAAGTATGGCAAATATTGGTAGGGGGAGGAAAACAATTGGGGGTTGAGACCAAGATGGGAATTAGTCAGCAGCCATCAAGACTCAAATTGAAAAGGTTATTTTGCATTCGATTGAAGTACGCATAATCGGGAATTATATTCCAACCCCCCCAATAACAGGAGATCATTTCATTTGCAGCTCGAGGCATATTTTCCGCAAATTCAGTGTGATATTTTGCTCATTTACACTTGGCTGCATACTCGATGATATTACCACTCGCCCCACCCTCCAGGAGCCTGTCCCAGTAATTGACCAATGCAAGGAACCAGGACATCAAGGACCATGGCAACAGCAGGAAGCATCAGGAACAGGAGCAGGACCAAAACCAGCCAGCATCATGGGCAGTGGACAACGGCCCCCAACGGAGTGCTTTCATCATTGAAGCTTATGAAACTTTTGATTGACGAAGCCAGCCAAATGAATGAAATGCGAGTGCACAGATACAAGGACGGATGTAGATAGTAATACATTTACACAGGGAGAAAATGGGTATAGAATTGCTGGAAATTTCTGGGAAAAATTATGAGGAAAACTGCAATTTTTACAGGCAAGAAGTTAAAGTATTTATTCCTTAAAAATCTTTATTTCGGGAGTAAGAAGTTTTTAAAAGCAAAGAAAACACAGCTCACATTATTACTAATATATTATATATATCCTCTTGAATTTATTTAAAGTTGCCCCTATTTTCTCTTAATTAATTTTAACTATATTTTCTTTCAGTGTACAAAAATGTATGCGAATGAGACGATGAGAGGACAGCAGCTGGCCGAGAGACATTCATTAGCATTAATAAACATTTTGTATGCTGCCAACTAGAGCACTGAGAGAAATCTCTCTAAACTTGGTTTATATCACGCATTAAGCTTTATTCTATATAGGAAAATATAATGAAATTTTCTGCCACTGTTCCCAACTGGCTTTCATTCTACCAATATGCCACAAAATGAATGAAATTTTATTAACTTGGCCCCCAACCATGAGCCTTGATTAGAAATCCCCGATGGGAGCAGGCCGAGTGAAGCTGTGGAAATGTGAAGCTGACAGGGCAGTAAAATTACTTTTTAACTCAAGGCCTGAATTCGAAACTTGAACTATACTGATAACCGACGACTGATAAATGATTCATGAGCTGCTGCTTTGTGCGTTTATTGCAGAAGTTGAATCATTATTGGCTCACTTTCCAACTTTTTGGGGTAAATTGGATGCGATCTATAAAGCCAAGCGAGTGGAGTTAGTCATAAGATGATGTCAACGATTAAAGGGGGTTTCAAGAGCAATAAAATTAACAATAAAAGTCTGTTTCGACTGTGTTTCATAGTAAGGAAATCATTAAGCTACAATCAGACTTAAATTTTTGGTTTATTTATATTCTAGAAATATCATTTTAACCTATATACTTAACTATATTTCTCTCCCGACCTTCTTTCAACACCTTTTTTATCTACAACAATTTTCAGAGCTCCCACCCCAAAAAGCTGTAACATTATGATAAGTGTGTTTGCCAGTTGGAGGCAATGCATTAACTGCCAGCTGCTGGAAAAGCCCTGCTCAGTCCTAATGGATAACTCCACTTTATCTGAACCAACTTTCTTGCGTTTGCGACTGTATCTAGCACATAAAAACAATGGCATAAATCTCATAACAAAAAGGGAGGGAGAGCCGCTGCTCCCGCGTCTTTGAGTTTTGTGTTTTCAATAAATTTTCGGGAAAAAGGCCCGGCCAAAACAAATTCAACACCCGAAACACAAGTGTAATTAATATTTCAGAGCTGAACATTTATCAAAGAAAAAACTAACCAAATTTTTTGGAAAGTTGCCTCCGTCCAAAAAAACAATTAATGGCACACTCTAACTTTGTGAGGCCCTCCGGCCTCAAGCGAGCCATCATCCAGTCAGCCCCCAAAAAGGCAAGACAATAAAAACCAAGTCTCGGGGCTGGATTTTGGAGGCGGGAGGAAGCTCGGAGAGCTCGTAAATGGAGGAGGCGTTGGCCCAAAACCAAACTCAAGATTGGAGACCGAACTGAAGAGAAGACCGAACCGCAGCCCAAGTCTTCGAGCTGATAGACAATCGCGGTGCACCGCAAAAGCACGGTAGCCACTTGCACACCCAGTCTCCACCCAAGTGCAGTCACCATACACACATGGACACTCAGACAGAGACTCAGACTCATACTCATACTCAGACTCAGACCCAGACCAAGGGACAGACCCATCGAAAACATCGGCTGTGATTAGTGTAGCAATCATAAACTGACCAAAGGGTGGAGGCCTGCCTGCTCACCTGCGGTTGCCTCAATATTAAGTTCACTTTTCAAGTGATTTACGAGTCCAGAGACTTGCACAAGGAAAGCCCTACAGGGGAAGGTCTTGTTAAGATCAAGTTTAAGGTTTAAAATTAAATTAATATAAGAAATCACTCTATACAAAAAAGAAATATATAAGAGCTATGTATTACAGGTTTGTAATTAAATAAATACGAGAAAATAAGGATCAAACATTGTTTTATGTATTAATATTATAAACTTATACTATTTTTAT